ATGTAATGCATGGAACTAAGCTAGAAAAAATACATATGAAAGTCAGATTGGAGTCAAATAGAAAACATGACAAAGTAATTTTCGATTGTGTTTTTTAGTGTATTTATTTATTTATTTATTTATTTATTTATTTATTGGTCTGTTTATATATTTCTGCTCTCATTTCTAATTATGTCAGTTTTGGTCCTCTGTGCCTTCTTGTTACAGTGTAAAATTAATTGTTTTCTTTGTTGCTCATTCAGCCTGTAAGTTGACTTAAGCATGTTATTGAGCCCTGTTTAAGGGTAAAAATGTGCTTAGTTTTTATATTTGTTTCACTGGCCACGTTGACATTTCTATGCTAATGATAGCATTTTGTTCAAAATAAAACACTAATTTTTGTGAACTTGTCATATTTTGTTGTTGTTACTTAATTATTTGAAGGCAATCGGTTTCCTAGATTTATTTAGTAAGGTCAATTTATCAGATTTTAGAGTGTGTAGAATGAACATAATTATCCCCGTAGTTTAGAAAATGCCACCAAACAAGACAAAAATGTTTGTAATTTTCAACATTTCAACTTACTTTGCCTTACTTTTTGTACAGTATATCTTTCCTACAATCCAAAAGATTTCCTTTTGAAGGCATCAAATAAATAATTACCCATCTGTTCATCAACTGGAGCTTTATTCAGAGAAAATGAAGCAACAAAGAAAATTTCTGCATGATTGAGCATTATTTCTGTCTCACTGTACAGCTTTCACTTCTTCACATGTTATAGATTGACTTCAAAAAATTTGGAAAACAAAGAGGCAGTAACTTGAACCCCAAATATAATCATGCTGTGCCGACACACATCTGCAAAGCTTCCTGAAGCTTCAGACAAGACTTAACAATTTTAACTACAGCCATAACATTCCAAAATGGATTTATCTTTCAAATGTCTTTTTTAAAAAATGAGTTTACAGCTTTAGACATTGATGTGGCAAACGAGACCTAAATTTGACTCAGCAGAGGATTTCTAGCCTTAAATTCAGAAAGTCCTAAAAAGTGTTTAATTAAGTGTGTGTGAGGCCCTGTTGGTGACATTAGCTTGTTGGAATTAGTGAGGTTAATGTGCAGTTAGGTTAATCTGCTGCTCTGATGTGGTTTTGCAAAATTCTCTATTAAAATTGGCCTCATGCACACAACTTCTTACACAGAGAAATGTTGCTAAAAATGCACCAGACCATCCCAGCAGGACAATTCAGGTTGTTCAGATAGCAGATATAAAAAGCTCAGCAGCAAACAAGGGAGGCTGGATACAAAAAGAGATTTAAAAATACATATTACAGAACACACAGAAGAATCATGGTGGCGGTGGCGGCAGACATATGTAGCTGTGCAGTATCGCTGCAGGAAAATACATCCCATTTGTCTTTACAGGCATCTGCAGGTCTGTTTTTGAACAAATTTACCTCAGCTTTAGTGTTGCTGTTACTCTGTATGCTACATAAACTGAAGATCAAAGACACAAATGACGACATCATTTTGGAAAAACAACAGCACACAAGCATCCTATGGCGTGTATACAAGCATGGACCATAAGTTATGCTAACTTTGGTAAATATCATCTACCTTGCTGGTTGGGCTGGTTTCTCCGGCTTGCTGCTGTTGTGGCGTGTCTCGGTGGAGTGGCGGATGTGGATGGAGTCCCTCGGCCCTC